CGGGAGCGGCGCGCGCCGGGGCCTGGCCGGACCGTCCGAAGGGACGCGCGCGAGAGCCGGCGATGGGCCCCGCGGCGGGGCTGGCGGCGCTGCTGGCGGTGCTGGCGCTCGGGGCAGGCGACCCGGCAGGGGCCGCGGCGCGGGGGGACACGTTCTCGGCGCTGACCAGCGTGGCGCGCGCCCTGGCGCCCGAGCGCCGGCTGCTGGGGCTGCTGCGGCGCTACCTGCGCGGGGAGGAGGCGCGGCTGCGCGACCTGACCAGGTGAGAAAAGGCGCGCGGGGGCCACAGAGGCGCCTGAGTCCGAGGAGACTGAGTCAGAGGGTGAGACCGAGGCACCGTGCTGTAGGGTGGCGGGTGTCTGAGTCTCGCTGTCACTCAGCGGGGGACCTCAGACCCCGCTTGAGACTGGGTAAGAGCCTCACTAGATCGTGAGGCTGAGACCCTGTGTGGCCCAGCGTGACCGTCAGGCCCAGTGTCACCTAGTGTTGGGACCCCCGAGACACCGTGGCATGAGGTAGTGGGGAAACAGACCGAGCGTGACCTCAGGGACGCTGTATCACCCAGTGTGGAACCTCCAACGCCGTCGCACACCCCGAGTAGCTCCCCAGATCCATCCTCACACGGCCAAGTTGATGCGCTGTGGAAAAGTGTGGTCCGGAGTGACTCAGGCCGAGTGGGAGGACCTCCCAAGGCACGGCGTCAAGCGGTTGTGGGCCCCCAGGCTCTGTGTCACAGAGCCACAGCTCGACTGCAAGAGTGAGAGGCAGAAAATAACTGTGTCGCTGTAGCCACGCGTGTGAGCCAGAGAACTAGTGTTTAATAGGAAGTGACATTCTGTGACCATGTGTGAGATTTACATGCCTTTGGGACTGGATGGGCAAGACATTATGGACATCTCAGCATCACTCTGGATGCTGTTTGCACAGCTCATTATATGAATAACGCTTCATGTTCATTAACTCATTCAACACCGGTGTTTGCCTATTTTGAGCCCCACACTGTTCCAGGCAGTGGGGATAAAATGGTGAGCAAGCCACACAACCGTGTCCTCAAGAAGCTTGAGTCGCTAGCATCATGACTGTTAATCAGAGATGTCTGTTGTCTCCTTTGCTTTCAACTCTCCCTTCTCCTTCCACATATAAGAGCTCTCTAAATTCTAAATACAAGATAACTGAGATTTAATATGTGTATATTGACCCCAAGAAAACACTAGGGAAAACCATACTTGATACTAGAGGATACCGAGTGTAGCACACACAAGCAGGTGCTCAGCTTCATACCGTTTGCTATACAATCAGCAAACTCTAGTGCTACACACTGTGGCATAAAAGACTATGGACGTGGCATGCTGGGGCACTGTAATCATGTATTGACTGTCAGTGTCAAACTCTGAAAAAGGAATGACTGTATTATGTGTTACATTGTTTTTGAATATGTGTTGTGTCTTCTCTGCCCAGGACATGAAGAAGCCTGCAACAGTGCTGTTACCACATTGCTATCTGAATATATTAATAAAACTGAGCGAGTGTATGTGAGAGTAATACTGAGCGAGTGTATGTGAGAGTAATACTGAGCGAGTGTATGTGAGAGTAATACTAATTCTGGGGCACATGGGAAGAAGGTGTGTGGGCCACTATGGCTGTATGAGAGAGCTCCTGTTGGAGAGAATCAGGTTGTGTGTGGAAGTGTGTGCGAAAGATCTTGTTTGTTACTCAATGGTGACTGAATGATGATGTAATTTTGTATATGCTCTTTAAGTATGTAGCTTACATATAAGCAGTTATATGTGTGTTTAAATTTACTATTAGTTTGAAATAGTGTGAATATATACACATGCACACACACAAAATACATGTGTGTGTTATAACAATAAAAGATGATAATTTCAATAATTCTTATCACTCTTCAGGGTTGCATAGTTGCCCAGTGTTTTATGGGTCTACTCTATAAAGCAAAATGTTTTAATTCTGTTCTTAGTCCACATGCATCGGAGTCTAGGTTTATTGGTGGAAATAAAAGACTCTTCTCTTTGATTTGAGATTCCAACAAGTTCCCTGCTATCCATGTGCTCGTTCTTATACCAGTAATCTCTTTATTTGGGTGGCTCCGATGGAGATGAGGGGGTCAAGATCCTGATGCCGAGCCTCTCAGGGAACAGGTTCAGAACAGAGAGATGGCACTGTGGATCAAAGCGACTGGTGGAGGGGGTGGGTGGCGCTGATGCTGGTCTCCTCTACTGTTTCATCACCATTGTCACAGAACCCTAATCTCATTTGCTTCTTACACACAATGCTTTGAAATAGGTTTGTATGACTCTCAAACACATGAGAAATCATTTAAAATATGAGAAAACTAAAGTTTAGTTACCCGAGATTATACATCTAGTAGGTAGCAAATCCAGGACTAGGACATAGTTCTTTTGATTGTTTCTTTCTATCATGCCATGAGGTCCTTACGGCTTGCTTTATCTGATGTGCCAGGATCCAGACCAAACCCCATAACTGCTGAGGTTTTATGAACAACTGGAGTACATAGTGGGTAAGAGTCTGGATGCAGGAATTTAACAGACCTCTGTTTGAATCCTTGGCTCTGACCTTGGGCAAGGTCCTTTACCTCTTTAAGCATTTTCTGATTTGTAAAATGATGGTAATGATAGCACCTACCCCACAGACATGTTGGAAGGATTAAGTACCATGTAAAGGCATTTATCATTTTTCTTGGAAGGTAATAGGTGCTCAACAAATGTTAGCTCTAACTCTATGATTTTTTGTTTATTTTGAGACTGCCTGGGGAAACTAGACCCCACCTTTGGCTCTAAGCAGGCACTAAGATTGTGAGAGCCCAGATAATAAAGATTCAGAAAAATTCTAGATTCTCTTCTCCGATGAGTTATGAACATTTAAGTTAGAAAGTTTAGTTTGGTATTTTAGAGACTGTCTGTTCTTTAGTTGATGCTCTAAAACCTAGTGAAATGTTTGCTTTTTTAAAACAAGAATTTTGGCAGTTCTGCTCATTTTCCTATAGTCCCAATCTGGTGATCTAATGTAACTTGAGATGTTATTTCTAAGGGCCTCAGTTGATATTCTTCTTTAAATTTCTAAATTTAGAAATAAAATATTTGGGGGGGCGCCTGGGTGGCTCAGGTGGTTAAGCATCTGCCTTCGGCTCAGGTCATGATCCCGGGGTCCTGGGATCGAGCAGACGCTGCTCCCTGCTCAGCCGGTTCTCCCTTTCCCTCTGCAACCCCCTCATGCTCTCTCTCACTCTCTCAAATAAATAAATAAAATCTTAAAAAAAAAAGAAACAAAATATTTTTCAATGTTGAAACTACTTACTCCAAGTTAATGAATAAAAATTTTACTAGTTATAGTAAATATATATAATATATATATAAACATATATATAGTTATGTACTAGTATAGTGTAAATACTAGTTATATATATAAATATACTAGTTGTATATGTGTGTGTGTATATATAGATATATATAGTTAACTCCTAGCTTTTATTTTTGCTGTTGCAGTTTAAAGAAACTACCGAGAAAGAGTAATATCAGCAGCAATAATTTTTGTGTTATGAATTAAGCATTCGGATGTCTCAGAAGAACTGAGACAAAGCCATTTCTGAATTCCCAAGGAGAAACATATTGAATTAAAATAGCCTATGTACTGTGGCTGGATAACCTATCCAGGCTATCCTTAATGCAGGGTTGGGTTGCAAGTTTTATGTGCAGATTCTTGAAGCAAGGATCTGATTTTCCACTCTCAGCAACATTTGTTAAAGCAAAAGGCCATTTAGGAAACCCTGAGGTTTGAATTCAGCATCCAGCAACTCGGTCTCTGAAAACCAGCTATTTGCTCAGAGGCTGGGAATAGGGCCAACGTTTGGATTCCAAACCAGTCTCAGATATCTGTGGATAGGTTTTTTTCTTTGTGTGACAGAAAAATGACGTATCTGAATGCTGAACTGAATTATGTGCTGCTGTAGAGATCAAACCCCTGCCCTAAATAAACTGACCCCATAATACAAAGTGCGATGTGAAGAGAAGAAGGAGCTAGTGCTTTTTTAAAAAAATTTATTTATTTGAGAGAGAGAGAGAGAGGAAGAGAGACATAGAGAGCACGAGCAGGAGGAGGGGCAGAGGGAGAGGGAGAAGCAGACTCTCTGCTGAGTAGGGAGCCTGACGTGGGACTCGATCCCAGGACCCTGGGATGACGCTTAACCGACTGAGCCACTCAGGCACCCAAGGAGCTAGTGCTTTTGATATGCTGGAGGACTTGGGAAAAATTTTCACCTCTCTGCCTTGCTTCTTTCCTCTGATGCCTGTTAAACATTAGTCCTCAAGCACCAAATGAAGAATCTATTTATTCAGTTATGGAAAAGATGATGGAAAGAAACAATAGAATGGTCATGCTGAAAGGATCCGTAGAGATCTTCTAGACTAGACCAGTTTTGTTATATTACAGAGGAGCAAACTGAGGAATAGTTGGAAGCCGGGTCTCCTCCCGATCCAACTGTCTAATAAAATTACTGCCCACTCAGCCTCAGTTGTCCTTGGATACTTACTCTTCAGGCTGGATTCAAGCCCAAGTCTCTGCTTGTAAGTGTTTTCATCTAGCAGTGGAATATCTTTCACTAAGTAGTTCCATATGGAGCTGAAGCAGGAAATAATGGGTAGTAAAAAAAAAAAAAAAAAAAAAAATCCCACATCCTGGAGGCTGTTTTTAAAATTTTTTTATGTTTTTAGTTTTTAAAACCATAGAGTAGCGGCTGCTCTCAAGGCACCTTGTTTCAGGTATCAGAGACATCCTTGGCCTTGACATGGTTCTCATTTCCTCCCTGGGGCACCCAGGCCCAGATTCTTGTTCCTTAGTTTTATGCTTGAATTGAACCCTGGGCTCGCTGGAGGCACCTGGAGGCAAGTCATCTTCTATTTCAGGCTCCACCCTTGAGAAACCCTTAGGTCAGACTCAGCTTCAAGGGAATGAATCCCCCCACCCTGCCACTCCCTCTGTTCTTCCTGTCATCCCTTCTTGCTCACTGAAGTCTTCCACTCTGGCCAAAGGACTCCTATAGTCTCACTGCCCTCGAGCACATGCCTATAAATCCATATCCTCTTCACTTTGCACGTACTTTTTTCTTTTACTTCCATTGTTGTTATTATATTGCTCCTGAAGTTAATAATTTTAAAACAAGGAAAAAATTTTTAGAGGGCATGCCTAAAACTCTTAGGCCTGCCTTATTATCATCAATAAATTGTAATAATGTTAATCCCGGTAGTGCGTTAGAAATGGAATAACTGTAGGATGCCAGGAAAGGAAACAGCATCTTTTGCTTATGTGAACACTGTTGTAGGACATCTGAAGAGGAGAGAAATTAACTAGAAAGATGATCACTTCTGGTCCCACCATTTCTGGCCGTTTTCTACACATGTCGGCAAGCCAGAGAGGCTGGACGCCTGCTGGACAACCCCACGTCTACCTCCCCCATTACAGCCACCAGTTTGTATGGACTGCTTCCTAAATATCTCCCTTGAATCTATCCTGTCCTCTGCCCCCACTGTCATTATTATGGTTCAGACTCTCCTTACTCTTGCTTCCAGTTTTGAATTGGCCTCCAGACTGTTCTTTCTGCCTCCGGTCATCCCCACTTCTGAACCCCACCCTCTCACAGATTCATATACATAAACATATCATAGTGTATCCAACTCTCACTGAAAACATTTTGGTGGCTCCTAATTGCACTCAGGGTAAAACCCAAATTCCTCCGCAGGGCCTGTGAGGTGCTCCTCCCTTGTCCAGTCTGATCTACCCATCATCCTCTGGATACACTGGGGCTCCAGCAGTACTGAACAGCTTGGAACTCACCTCCCATTTTTCTCTGTCCCTTCACGTATGTTGAACCATCTCTGCCTGCCTCTTCTCCCTTCCTCCTTATTTGCATCCACCCATCAAGTTTTGGTGTATTATCGCCTCTGTGAAACCATCTCTGACCTGCTCTGGCCAAATTAATTACCCCCTCTCCTTACTGCCCCCTAAGCCTTGTTCTTAAATCTGGTGTTGCATCTGTTATATAATTATTTGTGTCTCACCCACTAGTCCATGAGTCCTTGACACCAAGTTTATTGTCTTATTCAAATCCTGTTCCTAGCTCCTAGAAGAATGTGTTTTAGTTACTCTTTCACAGAAATGTGTGTTGGATTTAGGTATAGAGCAATGAGAAAAACAGCTTTCTTCTTGTTCATGAAATTATCAAGCATTGGACCCTGTCTTGCCTTTTCATCCCCAGCATCTAGCATGGAGTCCGCCATCTAGCAAGTAACCAGTATAGACTGACTTATTAATGAACACGTTTGTCAAGCCACTATGCTTTTGTACATGTTGGTCCCGTTGGCTCAAAATATATTCTTCCTATGATACAGAGAAGATGAGCATGGGCCCTGAGCAAGGATGACAAGCTAATTCGTGAAGCGTTCCATATTTTTTGAATCACTGTGATGTACGCCTGAAACTAACGTAACACTGAGTCAACTATACTCAAGTTAAAAAAAAAAACAAAAAACAACACCTAAAAAAAAAAAAAATTCTTCCTCCTATTTTGGTTTAGCTCCATGGAAACAATATGGCAAAATCAGCTGGGAACAAGCTTCAGAGTCAGGAAGATTTGGGTTCAGATCTGGTTTTGTCACGAACAGTGTGGCCTCGTTTCAGGTTTCTCTCCCTTCAAAACGGGCTTGATAAAATCTACTCTGAGGGTTGCTGGGGCTATTAAATGAGATAAAATATATATAAAGCACTTATCAGGATGCCTTGTACGTGGTAAAAGCTCAGTAAGTAGCAGCTATCAATCGTTTAATCCTGTAGGACTCAGATCAAGCGCCATTTCCTCCAGGAAGTCTTTCTTTACACCTGCTAACTCCCACCTGGGTTAGGGGCCCTGCATACAAGTGGCTGGAGCATTACATAACATTATAAGCTCACTTCTCTCCTAGCCGGTATCACAATTATTGCAATCAATTTAACAACATTTTTAAGCTTCTACCACATTCTAAGTATTGATTACAGAGTGTTGAGAGAAAAGATTTTTTGGCTTGTGAACTCCTTGAGAGCTCCACCGTGTCTTGCCTTTGAATCTCTAGCATTTAGCGTGGTGCCTGATGTACAGCAACTGACCAGCAGAGACTACCTCATTGCACGAACAAGTGAATGGACCTACTTCTGTTGTCTTGGTAGTTTTCATATTGTTTGTGCTTGTTGGTTAGACTATTATGTGAATTGCAAGGGGTTCACGTTTCATTTTTAACTACTCTAAATGTACATACACCACGTCAGCCTTTGCTAGGGGCAGTGGCTATATCAGTAAGCAATATCATTCTCCTCTCTTCCAGATTCTATGACAAGGTGCTTTCTTTGCACGAGGATTCGGCAACCCCTGTGTCTAACCCTCTGCTTGCATTTACTCTCATCAAACGGCTACAGTCTGACTGGAGGAATGTAGTACATAGTCTGGAGGCCAGTGAGAACATCCGAGGTAATGAGGAGGAGGGCTGGAGGGTAAGAGAAGATTCTGTCTCCTGACTCTAGAAAGGAGAGAGATTTTGGTGGAATGTGATGAAGGGTCATGAAGTGGGTAGGGTATTACTCCATCTTCAGAGCTTTAGCTATTATGAAGAACTAGGTCCTCTTGTTAATATGTCTATGTGATTGTACGTTAGAAAGCACTTTTGGGGCATGCGACTCTTGATCTTGGGGTTGTGAATTCCAGCCCCACATAGGGTGTAGAGATTACTTAAAAATAAAATCTCTAAAAAAAAAGTGCTTTCATGCCCATTATCTCACTTCTTTTTTTTTTTTTTTAAAGATTTTATTTATTTATTTGACACAGAGAGACACAGTGAGAGAGGGAACACAAGCAGGGGGAGTGGGAGAGGGAGAAGCAGGCTTCCCGCGGAGCAGGAAGCCCAATGCGGGGCTCGATCCCAGGACCCTGGGATCATGACCTGAGCCGAAGGCAGACGCTTAACGACTGAGCCACCCAGGTGCCCCCCCCTTATCTCATTTGATTTTCACTACAACCCTATGAAGAAGTACAGGTTATATCATTCCATTTACATATTTGTCTAAAAATTTCTATTTTATTAAACTGTAATGTGATCTGTAGCAAGGTCAGTTTCCTAATTTATTCTACTTTGTACTTGAAGAAATTTGCTGACTTTGGGGAGATTAAGAGGAAGAAGAGTTATCCCCACAAAGGGCAAGATTCCCAGAGACAGGATGGAAGCACACACGTGTGCTTTAGTTTATATTCTAGAGCTTATGTTCCTCCCTCAGAAGATTGTAGTAAGTATCCACTCTGCGCCAGGAACTGTGCTAGCCATGGGGGATAAACATATATAAAACATGATCTTTGCTCATGAAATATTTGGACGGGTGATTATGCCTTGCCTGTATTAAATGCTCACCACCTGCTTTTGACTGGTGGATTGGTGTTTTTACTGCCCCGACAGCTCTGAAGGATGGTTATGAGAAGGTGGAGCAGGACCTGCCAGCCTTTGAGGACGTTGAGGGAGCAGCAAGGGCCCTGATGCGGCTGCAGGATGTGTACATGCTCAACGTGAAGGGCCTGGCCCGGGGCGTCTTCCAGAGAGTCGTTGGCTCCGCCGTCACTGACCTGTACAGCCCCAGACGGCTCTTCTCCCTCACAGCAGATGACTGCTTCCAAGTTGGCAAGGTAACGGTGTCCACAGAGAGAGAGAGCGCCAAGTGCTCAGCCCTCGTTTCTTGTGGATGAAATAACTATATCCCGATTGCCTCTATGTGCTTTCAGTCCTTTCAGCAAACTTGGAAATTTGGTATAATTCCCCATTTTCAGATGAAGAAGTCGAGGTTCAGACACGGTAAATAATCTGCCCAAGGTTACACAGTTTTAAGTAGCAGAAATAAATTTTGAACCTGGGTCTTTTAACTCTGAATCCCATGCTCTTTCCATAATAACTAAGGTGATCACACACACAGGACACTCTTGAGAATGAAGGGAGTGTTATTAGTGGTTATTTGTTACGGCCGGACGACAGACATAAATTGGGACTGAGCTGGGAAAAATGGTCCTGGGGCCACCCTAACGGTAGCACCCTGCCTGCCGATGAACAGCTGGGTGGAAAGGAGAAGCAGGGTTCAAGGGTGGGGAAGGCGAGAAGAGGTGGGGATGTGAGGTAAGGTCACAGAAACTCAGCCTCCTGAGACTTTCTGGAATCCCTTGCAACATTTCCTAAGCATTGAGAAGCATTGAAAGAAAGCATTAGGAAGCATTTCCTAAGCATTGAGAAAGCATTAGATTAAGGTAGTGTCAAAAAGCTGAGGCCATTCACTTTCACATTACTTGAGGAAATAGACTTCAGGAACCTTCCATATGAGATATTTAACTGATCTTTGATCATAACTTATAAGCACACTTGAGGTCACTTTACAGCATACTCTTTGTTAGCCTTTGCCATAAGAAGTAATGGAGTAAATCCTTTTTAATTTTGAAGATGTGTATTGCAGGAAAGTGAATTTTCCCAGCCCTTGCAGTATTCGTTAGCAGATCTGAGTGAGAGTGGGCCTCATGTGCCCTGATGTGGGCCTCAAGTTTTAGGGACCAGTCTTCCAAATTAGTGCAGGGTGGGTTGTCCTAAGCCTCTCTATGTACCATTCTTCCTTCTCTAAGATCCTGAATGGAATCAGAGCTCAATCATCATGTTCATGACTAATTTAAATTTCAGCCAGGTGAAATAGTTCCGTGTATGGTACCAATATACGCGTCATTCATGAGGCCTTTCTGAAACTAAAACCGTATGTTGAAAATTCAGTAAGTCGCTTCCTGAAAGCCTCACTCGCATCTTTATCTGTATTTATTTACTTATTTTAAAAGATAAAACATTTCAAATATAAGAAAACTACATAAAATAATATAACAAGCAATTATATCTATAATTGAGATGAAATAGGTTAAAATTTTGCAACGTTCATTTCAGATTTTTAAAAAGGAATTTACATAAAACAGAAGGCATTAAATAAAGTTAATATTAAAAAATGAATTTACATATAGCTCAATAAAGCCCCCCTCCTCTTCCTTCTCACCACTCTCCCGACCCCTCCCTTCTACTCTACCCTTGCCTGGGTGCCCAGGAACTGTCCTGAGCCATACAATATGTATGTACTATCCTGAGTCCAGCTTCTTTTGGCACACTGGATCCATGAAATTTACCCACCTTGTTGCATTTATTAATAATTCATTCCTTTTTATTGCTGAGTAGTATTCCATTGTATGAATATACTGTTTATCCAGTCTCCTAGTGATGGATACTTGGATTGTTTCCAGCCTGGGCTACTGTGAATAAAGCTGCTATTAACATTCTTGTGTAGGAGCGCCTGGGTGGCTCCGTCGTTAGGCGTCTGCCTTCGGCTCAGGTCATGATCCCAGGGTCCTGGGATCGAGCCCCACATCGGGCTCCCTGCTCAGTGGGAAGCCTGCTTCTCCCTCTCCCACCTCCCCCTGCTTGTGTTCCTCTCTCGCTGTCTCTCTCTGTGAAATGAATAAATAAAATCTTTAAAAAAAAAAAAACCTATTAAAAAAAATTCTTGTGTAAGTCTTTCTGTGGACAGTTGTTTTTATTTCTCTTGAATAAATACCTGGGAGTGGTATTGCTGGGTCAAAGAAGAAGCTTCAATAATTATTAACATGTGGCCAAATTTATTTCATCTACATGTCTCCAATTTTCTCCTCCATGGATTATTTTAAAGCAGATCAGCCTTTCTAGTTTCTGAAATTCCTAGTTGTGTAATTGTACTACCCTACTGTCATGTCTATTGACTCTTGCTCATGGTTGATTATTTCCTGATATGGTTTATTATGTTTGTGAGCTTATTTTTAGTGGACTTTTTTCCCCTCTAAAAGAATCTCTGTGACTAGGGTTGTGGGAATATCATTCCACTCTGGTGGTATCACTGGCCTTAGGTACTTTTTTTGAGTACGTTACATCTGCATGATTTATTTATTTTATAACTGAAAGTTTATGCCTTTTGACTCCCTTCACCCATTTCACTCATCCCCTACTTCCCACCTCTGGCAACCAATCTGTTCTCTGTATCTATAGGCTCGGGTTTTTGTTATTACTGTTTGTTTTTGTTTTATATTCCACATATAAGTGAGATCGTATGGTATTTGATTTTCTTTGTCTAACTTACTTCACTTAGCATAATGCCCTCAAGGTCCATCCATGTTGTTGCAAATGGCAAGCTTTCCTTCTCTTTTATGGCTGAATAATATTCCATTGTGTGTGTGTGTGTGTGTGTGTGTATCACATTTTCTTTATCCATTCATCCATCAATGGACACTTAGGTTGTTTCCATATCTTGGCTGTTGGAAATAATGCTGGCAATGAACATGGGGGTGCATATATCTTTTCGAGTTAATGTTTTCATTTTATCCAGATAAATACCAGAACTGGAATTGGTAGATCAAAGGGTAGTTCTATTTTTGATTTTTTGAGGAACCTCCATAATTACTTTCCACATTGGCCGCACCAATTTACATTCCCGCCAACAGTGCACAGCACTCTTTCTCTTTCTTGCCAGCACTATTTCTTGTCCCTTTGATAATAGCCACTCTAACAGGCAAGAGGTGATATATCATTGTGGTTTTGATTTGCACTGACCTTAGATCCATTATTATATTGATTTTTTGGCTTGGAGTTTCCTTAGCTATATGAAGAATGCAAATTCAAACCTTAAACTCATGGGAAGCATAGGCTCAAGATTGTGAATATTCTTTTTTTTTTAAGATTTTAAATTTTTTTTACACAGAGAGAGAGACAGCGAGAGCAGGAACACAAGCAGGGGGAGTGGGAGAGGGAGAAGCAGGCTTCCCGTCGAGCAGGGAGCCCAATGCAGGGCTCAATCCCAGGACCCTGGGATCATGACCTGAGCCAAAGGCAGACGCTTAATGACTGAGCCACCCAGGTGCTCCAAGATTGTGAATATTCTGCGGAGTTATTTTGTTTCCCCTAAACAATATCCAGACAGAAACAAACCAACTTTCTTGACTCTTTGCGACAGTGGGTAGATTTTTTCTGGTCCACCCTTTCCTTTAAGGTATAGTTTTTTCATGGATTTCAGTTTTATGAGTGTGTCTTTGTTCCAATTCCTAGGTTTTGGGAGGCCTAAGGAGAGCTCATATTCTGTCCTCATGCGGGCATTATAACCAAAGGTTGCTAAGTACCAAGATTACTAAGACTAACACCCGCCCCCATCCTAAGCAGCTTGAGCATCTGCTCTTAAGCTTATTGCTCGGGTTTTTAGCTCCTTTTTTTTCCTGGTACCTGGGTATTTTCCATTCTTTCTTGAAAATATATCATAAAATATTTATTATATTTTATTCAAAAGTTCCAAGTCTTTTTGTTTGGAAGGATTTGTTATCTCAATCTACCATATTTTTGGGACTTGGGAAAACTTAACAGATTGTTAACTAGCAGAAAAAGTTCAGTCATTTTGATTGTTATTTTTCAACTCAACCTTTTTACAAAAAGGAAACCTGAGGATCAGAGAAATAACATGGCAGATGAATGGCAGACCTGGAAGAGCAGCTGATTTACTGTTTAGACTGCAGTTTCAGTGCCTCTAAGCTTCTGCCCTGTCTTTCTGCTGGCCTGGAAGTTAGAGCAGAATTAGAATGTTTTGTAAGAGTGCTTCCAACTCTGTGATTTTATAATTCCATGCTGTCTCCAACATCAACTTCCAGGAAATTCCACCTGCAGTGCTGGTATTCTAGTTAACTGTAAGCTGTTAGGAGACAGGAGCAAGGTCTAGTACACGTTGCCATATTCCCGCCTTCCAACATTTAATATAGAAAAAAAGTCACTGAGCTCTTCGAGCATTCCCATGTGGGTCTAGTATATTGTGTTGCAGTTATTGATTTACTCCTGTGCCCCTCATATGACTGTAAGCTCTTTAAGGTCAGGGATCACCAGGTACATTGCAAATACTCAGTAAATATTGAATAAATAAATGAATGAATTCAGTCCATTTCTCACAGTGCTACTGGCAGTATCTTCTTAAAAACACGACACTCACAACTCTTATTAGCTTAGCCCTTGCTACCTTTTGAAGTTCATTTCCTGCTTCTCTTCACCTTAGGCTATAACCACAATGTCCAACTTGAACACAAGCTTGCTTTTGGCTTCTGTTTCTGCCATTCCATCACTTTAAAATGTTCTTCCTCTCAGTCTCTACTAATTGAAATCCTTTTCTTTCTTCAGGGGACACCTACCTCAGATGCCACTTCTTCCACGAAGCCTTCTGAGATTCCCAAGTCTCTCCCTTCTCTGCCTCCATGACATATTATGCATATTTCTTTTGAGTATTCATGCATTCTGCCCAGTATTACAGTTAATTGAGTTCCTATCTTTCTTCTCCCCAGATTATGAATTCCTTAAATGCAAGAACCCTTGTGTCTTCTCTACATCTAGAACAATGCATTGGATATAATGGATGCTTGATAAATTGGATTTAAATGAATTTGAGATGAAAACTTGCCTTCTTATGTTCCATTGGCCCTCTCACTCTTTGTCATTTTCTTTTTTTTTTTTTTAAGATTTTATTTATTTATTTATTTGAGAGAGAGAATGAGAGAGAGAGAGAGTGCGAGAGGGAAGCGGGTCAGAGGGAGAAGCAGACTCCCCACTGAGTAGGGAGCCCGATGCGGGACTTGATCCAGGGACTCCAGGATCATGACCTGAGCCAAAGGCAGTCGCTTAACCAACTGAGGCACCCAGGCGCCCTCTTTGTCATTTTCTCTCCTCTACCTGTGGATTCAGGCTTCATGATGGTACTTATGTTATCTACAGGTGGCCTATGACATGGGGGATTACTACCATGCCATTCCATGGCTGGAGGAGGCTGTCAGTCTCTTCCGAGGATCTTATGGAGAATGGAAGACAGAGGATGAGGCAAGTCTAGAGGATGCCTTGGATCACTTGGCCTTTGCCTACTTCCAGGTAGGGGAGTAAGTGAGGCTCACTACTTTTATCACAATAAATATAGTGCTTTATATCTGCTTGACAATTTTCTACACATTTTCATGTCTCTCAATTTATTTCATCTTCCCAACAGGACCAAATGTGAGTCAAGCAGGGCAGTTGTTTTATTATTTCCATATTTCACATGTGAGTAAACTAAATCTCCAAAAAATTCCTAATTTGTCACGAAGTTCGAAGAGCTGGGATTAGCGCCCAAGTCTGTCTGACTCTTAGTCCGGTGCTCTTTCCAGCGCCTTGACTGCTTGAAGACCATCGTCTTCCACGTAGGAGGCAGGCTCCCATCTGTAATGCAGCAGCTGCATTGACAGATGTCTAAGGGGTTCAGAGTCGATGTAGATCACTCTTTTGTACTGTCAGCAACTCCTATCTCTTCACAGATGTTCTGTCGTGATATTGCCAATATTCAAGGAAGAAGTTTGATTGTTATTGTAGGGGCCCTGGGCAGGCTGCCCCAAGATGGGCACTTTGGCATAAAAATTACTTTTAGTTAAAAGTAATCAAAACCCAGCAGATGCAGGAAAATCTTTCTGCCTCCCTGCAACTGCCGAAGTTTATGTTGGAAAGGAGAGCCTGTAACAGGAGGAGAGCTATTAACAGAGACTCCCCTTTGCCTAAGGAACTTACCTGCATAATAGGGTAACCATGTTTTTCCAGACATCTCCTTTCACTTTCTTGCCGATGAGCTTTCTCCCCTTTGTGTCCTCTGACTCTACCCCTCTCCTTAGCTTATTGAAGCTTCACGTTGCCTCATTGTCTTGGGAATTTTGTGTTTGTGTGGATTCCCTGTACATATGCCTACGAAATTTGATTTTCTCCTGTTAATCTGTCTCGTGTCAATTTAATTTTATGTCCATCTAGAAGGACTATAGGGCAGAGGAAGCTCCTCCTCCCTGACATTATCCTCTCCCATCTGCAACTGGGCCAACTATAACTATGACTAGTGTCTGGCTATCGAGCTGGTGTCACTGGGCCGTAGTACAGCTAAGTGCCTCCTCCTGGGGTTGCTTTTTCTTGGCACTTGACCTATGAGCTGTTGTAGATCCTCTCGTGGAAGCTCGTTTCCCTAAATAGGGGATCTGCCATCCTTTTGTATAGCTAATCCATTTCCCACCAGGATTGTATAGTCTTCAAGAATAGGCTGGAAATATAACTTACCGAGCCAGTTCCTTAGAGTTTCCAAAGCTAATAAACCATTTCTGCTCCCTACATTCCTTTCTCTTTCCCCCTTTTCCTGCGAAAAGGGAGGAGGACGTGGGTGGTCCAAACCCACATGTTGCTGCCCAAACAGATTTATTCTCAAAGTAGCCAATGGGCCTGGTCCCCTCATGGTAAGTGGGTCTTTGTTGTAAAACTTTCCAGGGTGCTCTTCCTCATGCGCCTGCTCAATTGCTCCATATTAAAGCTGAAATAGAATCACTGTGGCACAACAAAGGGCGAGATGAAATTGAATTTTAATAGAGGAAGAAAATGAAGGATTGACATGGAGACTAGGAGAAGATAAACTAAAGCAGCTTACCTTGAGAGAGATTTTTTAAATGCGGCACCTGAGTATGGGTTTTGGCTTTTTTCCCCTGTGATGACTTAGGTTTCTCCTCTGCTCACTGGTAGACTCTCCCTTTCCACAACTGTGCTTTGTCTGGTAAATTTTATTCATCTCACAAGGCATAGCTCAAATGTCACCTACTTTGTGAAGCCTTCCTTAATTCTCCTCAGACTTCTCAGACTCCTTCTTTGTGCTCTTACAGCACATTTTTTTTATGTGACACTACTAGAACACATCAGGCATTGTCTCATAGACAGTTATGGTCCCCTTTTTAACCCTTGTAAATTCGGGATAGATGTCCCCCCATGGACCTTTCATTATCATATACAATATATGATATATATCATTATTTATGCCATGAAAATATTAAAATATGTAATATATAATAGCATGTAATATATAATACTGTATATTATATAATAGTTTTTCATGATATATTTTAGTAAAAAATTATTTCAGTCATTGTTAACAAAAGACAGTTGTGCAGTGATTAAACCACAGGCTCTGAAGTCAGACTGACCTGGGTTCAAATTCTGTGACAATTTGGGCATTACTTAACCTACGTGGACCTCAATTTTATTATCTTTAAAAAGGGAATAATAATGATGTTGTTAGGAAGTGGGGGGAGGAAGGGAGATAATTCTTCTCGAATCTTCTGAGTTCTTGGCTGAGACCTCCCTGTAAATAAAAAACAGATTAACAAGAGGAAAAATAAACTGAAGTTTATTACACACATACTTCCTGTATACATGGGAGATGGGGCCGGGCAATGAGGAACTCTTTGAAGTGTCCTAAGCCGCCACCTTAAATACCATTTCCAGCTAAAGACAATAGAAAGAAAGGTGTGCAGGGAGGCCAATTTTGGGGGGGTGACCAGGAAATGCAAACAAGGTTGTTATGCAGATTTAAGTGAGCTTTCTCCATTGATAAGATTCTCCTGTGATTCAAGGGGCACCTGGGTGGTGTAGTGAGGCTGACTCTTGGTTTCAGCTCAGGTAGTGATCTCAGGGTCATGAGATGGAGCCCTGTGTTGGGCTCCATGCTGGGCGTGGAGTCTGCTTGAGACTCTCTCTCCACCTCCCTCTGCCCCTCCCCCTCCCACATGCGTGCGCACGCTCTCTCTCTCTAAAATAAATAAATATACCTTAAAAAAAAAAAAGATTCTCTTGTGATTCAGAGTCATCCTTCTTTTCCAGGTACATGGAGGGAGACACTCCTACAAATGGAGGGTTCCCTTATAAATGTAAATTTCTATCACAAAAGGGTAACTTCTCTGGTTTTCAGAGCTTCTCCCATGTCTGCCACTTCTCAAAATAATTAGCTCGAAATCCTTGTGCCAAAGAGGCATATTTTGGGGTGGCCTATTCTGCTCCCCTTCAATGATCACCTCAAAGGGTTGTCGAGAGGATTAAATGAGCTAATACATGTAAAGCCCTTAACACCATTCATGACATGTGCACTCAACAAATGTAAGCTATTATTATATTATACACTACAGGTGTAGGTGCGCCTTTTTCATGTAACATTATTTAGTGTACATATTTCCAAAGAAATTTAACTGGAACAGCAAAAGTAACTTTGTTCTTTTTTTTTTAAAGATTTTATTCATTTATTTGAGAGAGAGAGAGAGCAGGTGGAGGGACAGAGGGAGAGGGAGAGGGAGAAGCAGACTCCCCACTGAGTAGGGAGCCCGATGTGGGGTTCGATCCCAGGACCCTGGGATCATGACCTGAGCTGAGGGCAGACACTTAACCAACCGAGTCACCCAGGCGCCCCAAAAGTAACTTTGTTCTTGATAAAATATAATTTTATCTCATGAAAGAGCCCTTGAGTTTTAAAAATATGTAAAGTTGTATTTTAGTTCTCTTCATCTCAGAAGAGTTTGAAAAGCTATAACCTTGAGTTCATAATCTGACATTATAAGATATCAATACAGTACTTAACTATCCCTCTGTTAAGTGTGGAACAGAATAACTAATGGTATTAAATAAGTGCAAACAATCTATGTCCAGGTCATCTGTGATGTAGCTTCTAGGTGGAATGAAATGCGGCTATTAAAAATGCTCTTTCTCTTGCATATCTACCTTCATAGCAGCACTATTCACAGCAGCCAAGAGGTGAAAGCAACCCCAAGTGTCCACTGAGGGATGAATGGATAAACAGAATGTGGTCTATACATACAAGGGACTAATATTCAGCCTTAAAAAAGAAGGAAGTTCTAGGGGCGCCTGGGTGGCTCAGTCAGTTAAGCATCTGCCTTTGGCTCAGGTCATGGTCTTGGGGTTCTGGGATTGAGCCCCATGTTGGGCTCCCTGCTCAGCAGGGAGTCTGCTTCTCCTTCTCCCTCTCCCTCTATGCGCTCTCTCTCTCAAATAAATAAATAAATAAATAAAATCTTAAAAAGAAAAGGCAATTCTGATACATGCTACAACATAGATGAACCTTGAGGACATTATGCTAAATAAAATAAGCCAGTCATAAAAAGACAAATACTGTATGATTGCACTTATATGAAGTATCTAGAGGAATCAAATTTATAGAGACAGAAAGTAGAATGATGGTTGCCAGGGGCTGAAGGAAGGGGGTAATTGAGAGTTGTTTGTTGGGTACAGAGTTTCAGATTTGCAAGATGGAAAAATTCTTGGGATTGGCTGCACAACAATGTGAATATAGTTAACATTACTGAACTGTACACTTAGAAATGGTTAAGATGGTAAATTTTTTTTTTAAAAGGTTGAGAGAATCTTTTTTTTTTTTTAAAGATTTTATTTGAGAGAGAGAATAAGATAGAGCACGAGAGGGGGGAGGGTCAGAGGGAGAAGCAGACTCCCCGCTGAGCAGGGAGCCCGATGCGGGACTCGATCCAGGGACTCCAGGATCATGACCTGAGCCGAAGGCAGTCGCTTAAACAACTGAGCCACCCAGGCGCCCTAACATGGTAAATTTATGTTATTTTTTTTTTTTTTTAAGATCTATGTGTACATTTGAGAGAGAGAGAGGAAAAGAGCACAGAAGGGCCGAGAGAGATGGAGAGAATCTCAAGCAAATTCCATGCTGAGTGTGGAGCCCCATGCAGGGCTCAATCTCTCGACCATGAGATCACGACCTGAGCAGAACCATGAGTTGGACACTTAACCGATTGTGCCACCCAGGCGCCCCTATGTTGTGTGTTTTTTACCACAGATAAAATATGCCCTCTCTGAAGACTATGAAGTGATAAAAAAAAAGTCCACCTGCTAACAATGTAGAGTGAAACAATCAGGATATGGAAATGTGTAACAAATATGCCTGTTAACTGTGTACACTCTGAGTCATCTAAAGTGCTTGGAGCCCCTGAGTTTCAGCAGAGCATTTCTTTTTCCTGTTTCTCATGTTTCATAGTGTGCTTCTTGTTGCTTTTATCCTTAAACATGAATTTTTAACATGCAAAAATGACATGACCAGAAGGAAATACAATTCAGGAAATACAATACAATCAGTTCATCATTCCTGGGCGCCCAGGTTAGGATGGCAGCCCACCTACACTGGGTTCTGTTCCTCAGTTTGTCTGGAAAGCCCCTGTGTACTTCTGAGCTTGTGTAGCTAGCTCAAGGTCAAATGGTGGTGGCAGGGAGAGGTCATTACTATGCAGTGGGAATGTTTCAGGTTTAGTTCTTCCTTTGCCTTCCTCCCACTACCTTTGTCGACTCTAGGAAGGACTGAGCCTGGAGAACAAATTATATTTTTACTAGGGTTTTTATAGTTCCATGTTAAGCTTAATAATGAAGTATACCGAAATAACGACACCCTGCAGTTATGTGGTTTTGCATGCTTTAAGATTTGAGGGCACTTTAAGAAAGTTTATTTTCATTTATTTTTTTACCTTCCCTGGTAAGGGTGGGAATGAGTCATTTGTAAATAAGGACACTGAGGAGACCTGAGTTGCATTAGGGCTGCAAATCCTGAATTAGGACCGAGAACTTCTACATTTCTAGTCTGCTGCTCATTTCGATGAGTCTTATTGTCTCCTGGTGGTAAGAGTATTTTATGGTTTTTTGTTTTTTGTTTTTTGTTTTAATCCATTTAATGATTTGGTCAAAGGAAATATCCTCAGTGTAGTTAACTCCTTTCCTTTCTTTCCTTTTGTTTTATAGGCCGGCAATGTTTCGTGCGCCCTCAGCCTCTCCCGAGAGTTTCTCCTCTACAGTATGTAATGATGGAAGATGAATGAGCCACAGCGCTGATTTACTGGGAAATCCCTTCTGCTCCCGGCCCTTAATCCCTGCAAGGACGAGACAGCCATGTGTTTTTATTTCTCTAATTTTATAATCCAAGCCACATTTCTAATTTTAGATCAAATCTTACTTAGCTATTGATCAGTGCATCAGGGGGAAGTTTTTTGGTCTGTGGGAAAATTCTAAGAAGGCATCAACCTGTCCCTTTGCTCTTCCACTCCCAGCCGGGAACAAGGCCAGGACCGGGGGAGGAGGGTGTGTGTGTGGCAAACGAGATCAATGAGAGCTGTGCATGCAAGGAGAGTGATTCTGTGGGATGACTGATTTCGGCTGTTTCCACAGGGATAGCAGCTCTTCCCTTTAAACCAGAGCTCACGTGGCTGTCAAGCACCCTGCTCAGTTACTGCGGGGTTCAGCTTCGACACTCCTCCCAGGGCACGTCACCACAGTTAAATGGGAGGGAGATTTCCTAGCCTAGCTCTCTGCTTGGATATTTTTAGTGAAAATTTTGGTGGAAGCTGACTTCCCAGGTTTTCCTTTAATAAGATACTGAGATACCAAAGTAGGTAAATAATCACTATGATATTTTAATATTTATAAAGTATTTCACAGAGGACTTCACAGTTGTATTGCTTTTTACTGAATCAATTTAGTAACATTATTCCAGTCTGATAATTGGGCAAACAGTAGGATGTGGAAGTAGCCATATGGTCTGGAAACATGTGGGCAATTACTACAGGCAAAATGATAACCCAACCCTTCTCTCTTTCTTTATGTTTGCTCTGTTAAAATCTCTGCCTGTCCCAGAGAACCCAAACCACGCACGGTTATAGGTGGAGTAGGACACAGCAAATTGGGATTACCAGTTCCATTTCTGGCTCTGCAGTATTTTCACTGGGGTTTTGGGCTCATTGCTTCTATTCTCCCAAACTTCATTTTGCCTCTTGTTACAAAAAGGATGGTAACTTCTGTCCGTCCCCTCTTTTGCCAGGGTGGTGGTGGTGGTGGTGGTGGCGGCGGTTAGAGATACACTGAGCTCCTCAGAGAAAGATGCTTTGGGAACATTAGAAAAATCCAGCATGTCCTTCTAAGAGGCACTGAAATTCAGGACAGAGGCTAGCAGGCCATGGGGAGCTGCTAACCGAGGGGCATCTTACAGCCACAGTGGGTGCCAACAGGTGGGCACAGATAAGACACAAGACCTCTGTGGGAACCCGGGCTAGAACCCCTCCGCCTCATACTGCACTGCTCTGTATGTAGGCCAGTTAGGGATTTTGAAGGATCTCGTAGATTGGGGAATGGATTAGCTTTCACTGCTCCAGGGAAGAATAGATTGGGTCTCTCTGCTATAGGCTTTGGCTCTCTGGACTTCTCTTTCATAGCATTTACGGGTTTCATTGTGAGTAGTTATTTAATGTAGCTTTTCTCCATTAGGCTCTAAACTCTGGGAGGTTAGCCTCTAGCACAGTATCCAGTGCATGGTAGATATTCCCTGAAGATTTATTGAATGGGTAAATGAAAGCAGGCAGGCAGGCAGGCAGAAAGGAAGGAAGGAAGGAAGGAAGGAAGGAAGGAGTGAAGTTTCTTCCCAATACATGAAACTTACCATCACGGTATCCTAGAGCTGCCATCCTTATGATCCCTTGGTCTAACAGTGTTCAGTACCACTTTCCTTCCCAAAGTCCTTTGCACCTTCAGATCTACTGGGCCTAACTCAGTCTTTTTTAATACCAGGTACTCTTCTGGGAGTGAGGGCCTTACCATCCTCCTGTGCATGGACATGGCAGCTTTTCATGGTGTCCAGTGGCTGGTCGCGTGTGACCGGGAAGCTATAGGAAAACTTGAGAAAACTGAGACCATTGTTTGTTAATCTGTATTATTCCCTGCTCTGATTTCTTCCAGGCCCAGATAATAAGAGGATGGCCAGGAATGTGTTGAAATATGAAAAGCTTTTGGCAGAGAGCCCCAACCAGGTGGTAGCTGAGGCTGTCATCCAGAGGCCCAATGTACCCCACCTGCAGACCAGAGACACCTACGAGGGGTTATGTCAGACCCTGGGATCCCAGGTAGGATTCCTCAGGGAAAGAGAAAGGGCGAACAGGCTTAGCTAGAGAAAGAGAAGGTTGTGTTAGAACGATGTGAGGGGAAAAGGCTGATGCGTTAGAAACATAAAGCTCATTTGGACAGCATCAGAGTGACCACATTCTTAATCTCCCACATGCCAGTTTTTTTATGCCGTGGTTCCCTACACTGGCTTCTGCTCCTAGCCCCTTCATCTCTCATGCTGATTCTAGGCTTTTCTTCCAGCCTACTCACTACCAGATCCCTAGCCTCTACTGTTCGTATGAGACAAATTCGAGCCCCTACCTGCTGCTCCAGCCTGTCCGGAAGGAGGTCATCCACCTGGAGCCCTATGTTGTTCTCTACCATGACTTTGTCAGTGACGTGGAGGCTCAGAAAATTAGAGGGCTTGCAGAACCGTGGGTGAGTGTCCCCAAAGCCTGCCAAAACTTCTCTTTGTGTCATCACATGCCTGGGGTTCAGGAATGTGAGAACAGGCAGCCTGAACAACTATACACTTTATCAGTCCAGGAATTCAAAATGCCAACCATTCCATAAAACGAATCAATGGTAAAAAAAAAAAAAAAAAATCACAGTAATCATTGCTTTTGGAGGGAGGGGATTGGCTGGGGAATGGGACAAGGGCATTTTCTGGGGTGTTGAAAATGTGCTCTCAATATCTTGTTTTAGGGACGTGGAGTACACAGCTCTGTGCATTTGTGAAAATTCAGCAAATCGTACACTTGAGATCTGTGCATATTATTATATGTAAATTTAACCTAAAAAAATCAAAAGGACCCCCTCCTCCCCAATGTCAGTCATTCCACATAATGGGTAGAATTTTTTTTTTTTTTTTTGAAGAGTGAAATGATGGACAAGGAGTGATATTCTAGTGCAGAGTTACAGGATTACCGAGTGGAAAGATTATCTAGTTTAACTAGATTATTTTGTTAAAGAGGAAAGAGAGGCCCAGAGAGGGGAAGGGACCTGATGAAAGTCAGGCGCGTAGCTGTAGCCAGACCTGGAACTCAGCGGTCCGTCGATGGCTGTTCTGTTCTTCTGCCTTCTTGTGGCCGCTAACGTAGGCTAGATTATGGTCAGTAACAAACAGCCCCCGAGTCTCAAACACAACAACAACAAAGGTTTGTTTCTTACTTACACCACGTGCCTGTCTTGGCTGGCTGCCGTTGGGGGGCAGAACTGTTTTCACTTGGAGACCCAGCCTGACAGAGCCACCTACGTCTGGGACACCTCCAGCCTCACAGGAGACAGAAAAGACAGAGATGGCCAACTGCTAGCTGGCTCCTAAAGCTCCTGCTTCTGCCCCTGTTTCATTGGTTGAGGCCATCCATGGCCCCATGGGGCCACCACCGCAGCCAACAGGGAGAGTGTGTCTAATGCTCCTGCAGGGAGGGCTCTCCCAGCTGTGGCGCTGACCTTGATGTCAAGCAGGAGAGGACATTTAATCCTCTCCCAGGAAGGGTGGCAAATATTGAGAAAAATAACGCAGCCTACCTCATCGTTATAAGCTTGCTGCCTCTTTAAATGGCTGTCTCAGAATTCCTTATGTCATCATGCGTGCCCTCGATGGTGCCCTGTTCATCCAGGTGGTCGTTGGGCCCCTTGTCAATGGAACCAAGCCTGCTGTGTGCCAGACGCTGTACCGGGGGTGGGACATTCGCAGATTTGGCATTGGCCCTTTCCCTTTAGGAGCTCACAGCGTAACGGGGGAAAACGGGTATGTATACTACACTGTGCAGGGCACCGTGCCACGGCGGCATCCAAAAGTGAGCCTTCCTGTGAGGGAAAGGCAGATGGGTGACGAGAGGAGGGGAAAACAGAGGAGGTGTCCCTGTGGATGTGAAATTCATCAGAGTAACAAGGTGGCCAAGGGTATGGCAGGAAGATGAAACAGTACATGCAAGGACCCCGCAGGCGGTGTGTTCAGAGAATGGGGTGGAGCTTACTGGTGCAGGCGTGCAAGGGATGGGCTAGGAGGTGATCAGAGGTGAGGCCAGACGGTGAGATGCCATCAGGAAGTGCCGTAGATACCGTGTTGGGGAGCTTGGGTTTGATCCCAGAGGCCGGGGCGGGGGTGGGGAGCTCTTGGACAATTTAAACAGGAGATTGGCATGATCAGGCCTGTTGATTTTAAGGAAGATTCTGACTAGCAGACATGGATCGGAGGGATAAGAGTAGCAAAAGTCATCTCATCCAGGAGCCCCTCCGGTGAAGTCTGGAATCTTTGTGCAATTTTTGAGAGCATTAAGCTCCCCCCGTCAGTTGGAACAAAGTATCTTCAATAGCTTCCACATCTCAGCGAGCCAGCGGCAGTATCTGGCCAGCAGGTGCTTTTTCCTTAGAACGACTGGGCTGTCGCGGTAGCAGGACACGCAGCCCACCCAGCAGTCCGGGCCGGCCAGGTCGGCTATTTGGCAGGCAAAGACTTTGCCACTCTCCCTCTTCCCAGAGGCTGATGTGGAGGCGCCGATCCCTGTCTGGTCTTAGGCTCCGCCGGGAATAAGCCTCGGCTTATAAGGTGGGGCAGCCGCATGGAAACTAAATTCAACCCAAGCCACTGAAGCCTCTCCTGAGGCTTGAATTTACTTCATCTGCGTCCCAACCCAAACACTGCTCTCTTGTCACTTGACCTTCCATCCACATCCTACCCATTCGTGAAGACTCTGTGGAAGCCTTGTGCCTCCCTTTGCCCACTAGCCCTGTCACTCTCCGCTTTCGTGGGTTCTTTCAGTAGGAACATTTTCTTCAGAGCACTTTTTGGGGCCACATACAAGAACCTCTCTCTTTTTTGAACTCAAAGCTTTTGTCACCAGTTGTCTGTATTTGATTTTTTTTTCATTTATTCTGCCATTTTTGTGTTGTCTAGTATCACTAGTTGTTTCAGGGGTTAGCATCCTGTCTCCTCAACTAGACTATAATCTAGGAGGGATCATAGGTCGTCCTTGAAATGCCTAGCCCTGCATTATGCCCATTGCACCCAGGCTACTTTTTAAAAGGTTGCATCTGACCACGTCAAGCCCTTGCTTTAAACTCTTGAATGGGTCACTTGAATGTTATAAAGCTCCTTGGCCGGCTACTGCTGACCCCTCCACAGCATGTGCCCCTTGCACTTGACGCCCCGGCCACACTAAACAACTTGCATCTCCACGAACGGGCCATGCTCCCCCTAACCTCTGTGCACACACTCTTCTAAGTCACTCTCTCCTTGGCCTCTTTTCACCTGTATGATTCCAGTTGTCTTTTGGGTATCCTGGGAAGACTTCCTGTCCCTCATAAGGGACTAGATGATCCTTCTTAATATTCTCTTAGTGCCCTGTACTTGTCCATTATGGCCCCGTTGCCTGACTTACGTCTGCTCCATATGCTGTATTTCCAATGCCTAGCGTGTTACTCAGCACAGAGAACAACCAATAAATATTTGTCCCCAAAAGTGAATGACTTGCTGGTGTACAATAAATAATTGTTAAAGGAATTAAGTGCAAGGTGGCTCCTTACTGGGGACAGGGATGGAATGGAGATTCCCTAGTATTTTTCTTTAAATCACTGATGTTACCCTAGAACATAAGGCAGCAACTCCTCTAAGAATCTCTCGTCTCTCCTCTACAAGGAGCCCAGGGGAGGATGCTGGGTGAAGGACTAGACAGAGGCATTATCAGTCACCTACTGATGCCCTGCATCCTGATACCATAGAAGGATAGGCTGGAAGGAACTCCCAAGAAGGTGTTGTTCACATACTGCATTTTATAGCTGAGGAAACAGGTTCAACGAAACAAAGAGACTTTTCCAAAGTTGTCTTCCTGGTTTAGCAGCAGGAATAATAATATTACAGAAGCCTCCAAGAAGGGAAAGGGTGTGTGTCTTGTGCAGTTCATTGCCCCGTGCTCTGCTCTGACTGCGTGTGAAGTGCCAGGGCTAGATCATTAAGCACAGGACTCTGGTTCATTCATTCATTCATTCATTTGTTCCTTTCACCAATATTGAGCACCTACTCCCTTCCAGGCCTTCTCTGGACTCTAGGGACACTGACAAAAACTTGCCCTTATGGAGTTGACATTCTGATGACAGATGCAGAAGTAGACACATCCTTATGTAAATCTTTCTCTTTCTGTCCCTGGTACAGTGCTTTTGCGGTTAGAAGCCACTTTATTTAAAAAGAATTTAAAATTCATATCTAGACATTCAGAACAAAATAGAAACAGTTAAATTAGTGACATTGAACCTGTTTGGGATTTTTTCCCCACATAATGAAGGCAATTGCAGCAAAACAGATTTTGATTTTTTTTTTTTTTTTAAGATTTTATTTATTTATTTGACAGAGAGAGAGACAGCGAGAGAAGGAACACAAGCAGGGGGAGTGGGAGAGGGAGAAGCAGGCTTCCCGCTGAGCAGGGAGCCCGATGTGGGCTCGATGCGGGGCTCGATCCCAGGACCCTGGGATCATGACCTGAGTCCAAGGCAGCCGCTGAACCGACTGAGCCACCCAGGCGCCCCCAGATTTTGATTCTTAATAAGGAATGGCTTTGTCGGAATTGTTCAGAGGAGTGGGCTACCTCTGAGGGTGGAGAGTTTCCTCGTTGGAGGTGTTCATTTAATATGACAAACACTAAGTGCTTACCGTAGGCCAGGCCCTGTGCCACTAGGATACAAAGATGAGTGAGAAACAGCCCCTGTTCTGACAGAACTCACAGTCTCAGATGCAAAAGGGATTCAAATATCACTTTATTTCAGTTCAGCAAGCTTTTATTGGGTGCTTACTGTCTACCAGACATGCCGCTGAAGGTTATTTTCGACTCAGATTTTTTGGTCACTTATTATCTTTTGTTTTTGAGATCGATAGCTATCACTAAATTCACAGCGTGTGCAAAATATTTGAAATTAGGGAGGAACTGGCGATTGTTAGGTTTCCTTTGAAGAGAGGGGCATGTCTAGGGAAATGACAGTTTCCTTCCCTTCACACGGTCCTTGATACCCACTTTCTCTTACATCCTCCACATCAGCTACAGAGGTCTGTGGTGGCATCCGGGGAGAAGCAGTTGCCAGTGGAGTACCGAATCAGCAAAAGGTATGAGGCATCCTTCCTTGGCAGGGGCTCTGGTCATACTTGCTGCCTGCCCTTGGGCCTGTGGCACAGCTGACTGAAGGTCAGCAACAGCCATCCAGAAATGCTGCTAGAGAATCCATAGTTCATGTTTGTATCTGTACATTCTTGTTGAGAGGGAGAAATTTCCACTCCCCTCCCCCAAGGCCCTTTCACAGGTTTTTCTAGGGTCTGAGGACTTAACTAGGAGGCCCTTAGGGAAAGACTTAACAAAGCTTTTATGCTGGGAACCAGAAATTAGGTGTGTAGATGCTCTCCTAGCCAGGATTGCTTTTCCAGAGATACAGTTCTGTTCCCATTTGGAATTTGACTTTATAAGGTTCCATTCCAGCCTCCTGACTCATATTCAAAGCATGACGTGCCAACATTCAGGCAAGAAGGGTGGCCGGAATCTCTGGACCTGGCTTTTAGGGAGGCAGATTCAGCTGTGAAAGCCCAGCTGATCCTTTCCCCTCCACTCCTGCCCCCACCCCCTTGCAGTCCTTGATTGTGTTGTAAAGACAGGATGTATGATGAGTAAGAGGAGGAGTCCCCATCAGAGCCATGGGAGACGGTGACAACAGCATCTTTGGGGAGAGGCCAGACCTCAGGATGAGTGGATAGTTTTGTTGTCTGGGAAGTGAGGTGAATAATGAAAGCTTTGATTCAGAATCACTGGGCTTAACCTTAACTTCTTTGGTCTGGTACATTTAGGGAACTTTCATACTAGGAGTTATTCTCTAAACTTTGGAAGGTCCATATGGCCTCACTTTGTTGCTTTTCTAACCTTTCTGACATTGTAGTGTCAAAGAGAAAAATCTGACTTTCTACTTAGATTCACTGCTTTTAAGGGAGTAGGTGGTATTCTCTTTACTTTTCAGGTGAAGAACCTGAGACCCTCGCTGCCTCCTCTTTCCCTACCATCACTCTGTATCCCTTTGAATTTTGGTTCTGTCCTCACAACTTCACTGGAACTGGTCCTTCAAAAGTCATCAGTGAACTCCTAGTCACCAAATCACTTTCCTGTCCATGAACCTTCACTGACTATCTACCACCCACAAAGACCAGTTTTATGACCATGGTGTCCTCAGCTTTTTACAACAGGTCCTGAATGTACTTTTCTATCCTTGTCTTCCATTACTTCTTTCATAGACCAAATGCTCCCACATTTACACAGACTGTATATTGTTATAATTCCATGTCTGTGTTTATGCTGTTTCTTCAGCCAGCCTGCCTGCCTTCCTTCCTTCCTTCCTTCTGGCAGTTGATAGAACTGATTCATTCACAGACATAGTCATTTCTGGCATCAGATCATTGATGCTACAACCTGTGGTGTGTTTTAGTGCCTGGCTGAAGGACACCGTCGACCCCCTGCTGGTGACCCTTGACCATCGCATTGGTGCCCTCACAGGCCTTGATGTCCAGCCTCCCTACGCAGAGTATCTCCAGGTGGTGAATTATGGAATTGGCGGTCACTATGAGCCTCACTTTGACCATGCTACGGTAACTATAGGGTCAATGATCAACCTCCTGTGGGAGGGAACCAGGGTATTATTTATTTCTCTAAGGCAGAGCCCTTATAATGTTCTCAGGGAATACCAAGTGAAATCTTAGAACAAAGGCTCTTGTTCGAGGAAGGTCTGAAAACCTTGGTTTCAAGTTGATTGCTGCTGCTGACTCATTTCCTTTTGGGCCACCATCCCCCCTTTCCAAAATTTGCTAGTGGGAAGAAGAATGTGGCCTGTCATGGAGTCTTCTATCTCACTTCACCCAGGGACTTCCCAGTGAAGATTATCCTTCTTTCACGTCACTTTCCTTTTCTCATGATCACAATTGCCCATCTTTGCTGATGTGTACTCAGTAAATAATTTTTGAGGATTTGAAGATCTCCCCAAAATTGATCTGTAGATTCAACCCAAACTTTATCAAAATTATAGGAGGCTTATTTTTATACGAATTAATAAGCTGATCCTAAAATGTATATGGAAATACAAAGGACCCAGGAGAACCAAAATTTTGAAAAAGAACAAAGTTGGAGGACACACACTACTTGATTTCAAAATGTAATACAGAGCTACAGTAATCAGGGCCATGTGGAACAGATATAGGATAGACACATAGGTCAGTGGAACAGAACAAAGTCCATATAAACTCACACATTTATGGTCAATTGATTTTTCACAAAGGTGCCAAGGAAATTCAATAAGGAAAAGATACCCTTTCCAACAAATGGTGCTGGGACAACTGGATATCTACTTGCAAAATAACAACAACAACAACTTTAGACCCTTACCTCATACCATATACAAAAATTAACAAAGCATGATCCATAAAAGAAAAATAAAAGTGATAAATTGGACCTCATCAAAATTAAAATCATTTGCTTTTCACAAACACCATTAGGAAATGAAAAGACAAGCCATTAACTAGGAGAAAACATTTACAAATTCTGTATCTGACAAAGGACTTGTATCCAAAATATATAAAGACCTTATAATTCAATAATAAGATAATTCAGGGGCACCTGGGTGGCTCAGTCGGTTAAGTGTCTGACTTTGGCTCAGGTCATGATCTCAGAGTCCTGGGATTGTGCCCTGCTTTGTCAGGTTCCGTGCTTAGCAGGGAATCTGCTTCTCCCTCTCTGCCCCTACCCCCATGCTCTCTCTCTGTCTCTCTCTCAAATAAGTAAATAAATAAAATCTTTTAAAAAAATAAGACAACTCAATTTTTTCTTTTATCTATTATCTATCTATCTATCTATCTAAGTAGGCCCTATGACCAGTGTGGGACTTGAACTCCCAAACCTGAAATCAAGAGTTGCATGCTTCATCTACTGAGCCAGCCAGGCATCTCATAACTCAATTTTTTAAAAATGGGCTTATTTGAATTAATATTTTGAATAATGAAATAAATGAATGGCTAATAAGCACATGAAAACATACTCAATGTCATTAGGGAACTAGAAATTAAAACCACAATGAGACAGCACCATATTTCTATTACGCTGGCTAAAATAAAAAAAGACAGATCATATCAAGTGTTGATAGAGATGTGGAGGAACTCGAACTTTCACACATTGCTGATGGGAATGTGAAATGGTACAGCCACTTTGGAAAACAATTTGGCGGTTTTTTTTTTTTTTTTAAAGATTTTATTTATTTGACAGAGAGAGATACAGCAAGAGGAGGAACACATGCAGGGGGAGTGGGAGAGGGAGAAGCAGGCTTCCTGCGGAGCAGGGAGCCCGATGCGGGGCTCGATCCCAGGACCCTGGGATCATGACCTGAGCCGAAGGCAGGAGCTTAATGACTGAGCCACCCAGGCGCCCCTGGCGGTCTTTTTTTTTTTAAAGATTTTTTTATTTGAGAGCTAGAGACCATGAGTAGGATGGAGGGGCAGAAGAAGAGGGAGAAGCAGACTCCCTGCAGAGCAGGGAGCCCGACAAAGCAGGGCTCGATCCCAGGACCCGGGATCATGACCTGAGCTGAAGGCAGATGCTTAACTGACTGAGCCACCCAGGCGCCCCAGTTTGGCAGTTTCTTAAAAAGTTAAACATACACCTACATATGATGCAGCCATTCCACTCCTAAGTATTTTACCCAAGAGAAAAGGAAAATATGTCCATACAAACATGTGTACAAGAATGTTTATAACAGATTTATTGGTAATAGCTAAGAATTATAAACAACCCATTCAGGTGAATGGATAAACAAAATTTTCTACATCTACAGAATGGAATACTACTCAGCAATAAAAAGGAATGAACTAACTACTGATATATCCAACAATACAGATGAACCATAAAAACTATGCTAAGTGAAAGAAGCCAAATGAAAAAAGACTACATATTTTATGATTCTGTTCTTATGAAATTTCTAGAAAAGGCAAGACTATAGACACAGCACATCAGTGGTTGCCCGAGGTTGAGGGTAGGATAGGGACTGACTGACACGAGGGAACTTTTTAAGCTGAGGCAAGTGTTCTAAAATTGAATTGTGGGAATGGTGTACAACTATTAAAATTTACTAAAGCTCACTGAAAACTACCCTTACAGTGGGTGAATTTAGGATATGTAAATTATATCTCAGTCGAACTGTACTATGACAACAGTGTGTCTTGAGCAAATAATTGGGAACTTCAGTCTAATGACTTGGTGTTCCTATAGAATGATTATCTGTAATAGTGTGTCTACTAATTTCTTTATTTCACTGAACCTGAAGTTAACCTCATATAGTACTTTCACTACTGACAAGCAGTTCTGTTTGATTAGTACAGTTGACCCTTGAACAACGTGGGCCAACCCCTTGCACAGCCAAGAATTTGTATATAACTTTTGACTCCCCAAAACTTAAACACTCATAGCCTACTGTTGACTTGAAGCCTTACCAATAACATAAACATGTGTTGGTGAACACATTTTGTCTGTTATATGTTTATATACTGTAAACTTAACAATAAAGTAAGCTAGATAAAAGAAAATGTTATTAAGAAAATCGTGAGGAGAACACATTTACAATACTCATTGAAAAAAACCCTGCATACAAGTGGACCTGCACAGTTTAAACCCATATTGTTCAAGGATCAACTGTATACAATTCACTTAAATGAGTATCTAATAAATTAGCAAAAGAAAAAAACTTAAGTTGAGTACCTGCCAGCAAGGGTGTGGCTCAAGGCTATACCCCATCTGTGACATCCCCATTTTTCTCCCTGTATTATGTGGGAATCCTGACTGTCACTTTGGTGCCATCTGCATAAAATAATGCTATGTTCTATTTTTGTCTCAGTCACCAACTAGCCCACTGTACAGAATGAAGTCTGGGAACCGAGTTGCAACGTTTATGATCTATGTGAGTCTTGCTTTCGATGGACCAGGGCTTATTTAATGACTATACTGCTTCTCTTTTATGGTTTTCAAAGCAATATCAGGCACTGATTTTATCTGATACAGCACAAAAATCTCTGAGACTTTTGCGACTTTCAGACAGCATTTTTAATAGGCACTACAGGAGATAAAGAAATAGAAGTCAGAGTTCCTGCCCTCAAAGAGCTTACAGTGCATAGACTTAAATATGACCTTGTCATAGGCAGTGATTAGGATGGGAAGTAGGGTTACACTGAAGGTTACATCGAAGGCCAGGAGAGCCTAGGACCTGACCAACACAGGAAGAGGATGTGAGAGTCTCTCTCTGAGGTCACACAGACTAGTTGGTGTTGGAAAGCATGGATCCATAGATGAGGTTGTGGAGCCATGAGGGGAAAGAGGGAAGAGAAAGGAGACAGCTAGGATTACAGGAGGGAAGAACAGAGATGTCTACTAAGAAATTCAGTGAGTGTTGCCGTCTTACATGCAGTGAAAATTCTCTTTCCAATCTCCCCATAAAATCTGCAGTATACCCCCTTAACAAATAAATTGGCCTCCTCTCCTAATTTCTGACCTGATCCTAGGAATTGAACCTAGTCGCTATTATTTCACCTACCCCCTTCCCTGCAGATCATGTAGGTTTACTTCATTCTCTGTGGACCAGTCATAATTTCAATCGTCTGTCACTTAAATTATAAGAGGTGTATGACTGTTAACTGAAGGGATAAACATGTTAATAGAAGGGCTCTACATAACACCCAAAGATGAAGTCCTGGTTTCATGCTCATTAGACTAGCACACCCCCACCCTAGCATTCCCTCTTTTCTCAGTGCTGTGTTGTCTCCCCAGGGCAGCCAAAAAAGGACAACCAGAGGCCACACTTTATGATCTGTGGTGCTGGTGATTCCATCGTAGTTCTTCCTGTGACTGGGTTTTATACTTGCCGCAGAACCAGAAGGCTGCCACTTGCAGTGGTGTCTGGCCTCTAGTGGTCATTCTGAGTGTTCTGATCAGGCATTAGAGGGATGTCAGCTCTCCAGGCAGGGGGCATGTCTTATATCAGCAGCTGGTTGTATCTCTGGCTGATGACTCCAGATGGCATGGGAAGTCACAGGTAGTGAGGGATATTAGTATCAAGCGAAGAATAGGACATCTAGGGGCCAGTATCTCTCTGTTCTTTACCTCCCTAACAGCTCCTACCGCTGGTTCCCTGGTTCCCGAGGCCCAATTACTATGGTAAGGGTAGCATGGATGCAAGAGTCCTGCAATTTTAAATGGCAAAATGCAAGTGTGTGTATGTGGAGGGGGGGTGAGTGTACACACGTGTGCGTGTACATTTGAGTATAAGCATTTGTGACAGTGGAATGGAATGCACTTAGAGTTAGTTGGCCTAGTTCCAGTTCTGCCACTTAATATGTGGCCTCAGCACAAATCACATCAATTCTTTGAGCTTATTTGCTTGTCCTGCACCTCCTCATAGGGTTGTCATGAGGATCTGATGAGATAATGTAAGGGGATGTCACTCTGTAAAGTTTTATCCAATAGGTTTCTATCATTGCATCCCACAAGGAGGTATAGGACCCCCTTAAAGGGGCATGGGCATCGTGGGACCTAGGACGTGCTAGGTTATCTCAATTCTTTCATCTTCAGATTGAGGTAGGTAAAGACCATTACAAGCATTTCTAACGACAGACATTAAGGTTTGTGGAGAATCTAAGCGTAATATTGTAGGGAGAAAATAACCTATAAGATGTGCAGAGGACTGAGCTGAAATCAAGTTACTAATTTTTTGTTCAAACTAGAGATAAGATCAGTCCCAGTACAAAACTGTAGAAGGTTTACTTCCACTCCACTGATCTCATAATCCTGCTCAGAAGCTTCATAGCACACAGGTCAGATTCTCTTTTCAATTTGATGTCATTCCTTTCCGCCATACTGCAAAACCGCAGGTAAAGGAATGCAGGAAAGTGCAGGTTCCCCTGTGTACATTGCTTACACCCATAGTTGCTGACAACAGGGTTTAGAACGGAATCATCCCATTAGTTACTTGAACACAAGGAGCAAATTGTTGCTCTTATCGACCTTCCCAAGGGGCTACACGGGGAGCCATGAAATGCTAAAAATCACCACCGTCACTACCAGGTTCTGAATCACCATGTCAGTTCAGTTTCCTCTAACAAGTGCCAACGTCCTAACTCCTAACAGGTGAATGTGGTGGGATCCACAAACATTCTGAGAGACAGGGTGAGGTCAGACTGGCTCTGTCATGTTGCACTGCTGGTGAGAAAATAATTTAGCAGTACGTACCAAAAGTATTCAATGTATGCATACACTCTTGACTCAGTAATACTAATGGCCCAGACTCTTTCTTATGAGAACAGTGTAAAATGAAAAAAAAAAAGATTTTACTCACTAAGAGTTGCTTATAATAGCAAACATTCAGGAAATAACCTGAATGTTCAAGGGTATAGCATAAAATTGTGAGCAGGGACTCTGTAGTTAGCAGTGGCTCAGTTCAAATTGGCCTCAGTCACCGAAGAGTGATGTAACCTTTTGTTAAGTACTTAATCTCTCTGAGACACAGTTTCCTCATCTGTAAAATGTGAATTATAACAGTATCAATTCTAACTCACAGGATTGTTGTGAGGAATAAGTAAGATAATATATCTGTAAGGACAGTATAACATCTAGCATGTAGTCAGTGCTGAATAAACGCCCGTTATTAGTATGTAAATTACAACCGTGCTTTTTTTTCTCGATGATATGATGAGTAATATAAGTATTTTCCTGTATTTTAAATTTTTTATATATTTCTTTGACAATCAGAAAAAAATCTTCATATTAAGAGAAGACATCTACAATTCTAGAATATACCAGTGGTGAAACTCCTTTGCTGAGGTTACCTAGCGTGGGATGAGTGGTCTGGGAAACATGCCAAAGCTGCAATCAGTGGTTCTTACAATGCCCAACTCGGAAAACTAATTGTAATATAAACAGTGCTCTGTAAGCCACAGTCATGATCCATTAGTGGGCTGTGAAATTAATTTAGTGGATGTGGTCAGCATTTAAAAAATCTGAACTGGAATAGAATAAAATAAAATGGAAAATAACAAAGGGTATCTCGTGCAGTAAGAATGTTTTGTGAAACATTCTTGTGTCTTGGGTTGTGATTTAAACTAGATTTCTTCCTGAGGGTCTCAAACTTCAAATCGACTTACTGTAGCCCTCAATAAGGATGTTAGCTGTAAGGATGAAGAAAGGGGGGAGTTCCTAAAGGCTGTCCTCTTACGGCCCTGCAGGCAAACACTGATGCCAGGGTGTAGGCTCCCTTAATTCCTAAATTGGGTGATTATCTTTCAATAAGTATTTCTCCTGGAGCTGAAATAGGGGAACCCGGGAAGAACTCTCTGCACAAATGACATCAGATGTCAAGTAGGGCAGAGCTGGGTAGTCGGGCTATTTCAACGCTGACTCTTCGGCATTGTAGCTGAGCTCCGTGGAAGCTGGAGGAGCCACTGCCTTCATCTATGCCAACTTTAGCGTGCCCGTGGTCAAGGTGAGTGAGGGTCCGGTCCCAGCACGTGGTGATAATGAGAGCGCAGAACTAACACCTGAGCTTCCGTGCTGTCTGCGCTTGCAAGCTTATTCCTGGGAGGAGGGATAAAAAGATATTTTCCTCTGATTCTCAGAATCAAAGCTAATCCCTCAATTTAGATGACCACATGTTACTTGTGCATCTATTTTCAAAATTTAATGACTATTTATATTAGAAGTAGATGATTACATGTCTGCCTTCTCTATTACGATAGAACTCCTCAAAGGTAAGAACTCTCTTTTAGTGATGCTTGGGTCCTCTAGAGCAGCTGGTCCCCTCAGGCATTCATTCAGTGAACACTGAGGGCTGAAAGCACTGATGTACAGAGGAAAACTCATAATCCTTGTCCTCCAGGAGCTCGCAGAGAAGTTGACGAGCAGTAACAACTATTGCAATAAGAGCTATGAGATCATGTGAGGCACAGAGGAGGGCTGTGTGATAGAGGTTTCATTTCCCCCCAGTTTCAGATCCATCAAGCTCCCTCAAAGCCCTTACCTAACTCAGGAGTGAAATGAAGATATAGAAATGATATCGTGCCTATAAAACACTTAGCACAGTGCCAAGCACATCGTAAGCATTGCCTGAGTAAAGGCCAGGATCTAGGAATCCTCAGGGGATTAGTGTCTCTTCTAGACTTGGGAATGCAGAAGCTGTCAGTGCCTCCTGGAAAGCTCTTCGTCACCTTGGGCTTTGACAGCTTCTAATGGCCAAGGTTAAACTAAGTCTATAGGAATTGTATAGGGGAAAAAAACCGTCCATAGCGGAAAAAAAGGACATACAGAATTTGTCAAAACACCTGGGTTTGAGTCTCGACTTCGCTCCTTCTTAGTTGCATTACTTAAAGCCCCGAAGCCTCAACTTCATTGCTGGTAAAGTGGGGAGTATGGTAAAGCCTGCTTCCTGGGGGTATTATTAGTAAGTGCCTGAGGAAGGGTAAGCATCTGAATTAAGTTCTTAACTGTATAAGGAATATTTTGTTCCACTTTGTGGTTTTTGCTGAGGGCCTCTCCTCTGGGATCCAATGACATCATGTGTTCACCTTTCTCCTAGCACTTGCCACACTGTCCTGTTCTGTTTTTATGTCTGTCTCTCCTATAAGACTGTGGGCTCCTGAGAGCAGAACTGGATATGATTTGTCTCTGCATCCTTAGGGCCTGGAGCGGAGCAGGCCCTCAATAAATGATGCATTCATGAATGAATGAATGGGTGAATGGCAACTTATGCCATCTTGTGCCATGTTATGCATGCCTTGCCCCCAATCTGCATGGACAGTTTTCTCGTTTAATGATACACATGCATTTGTCCTTAGTCATAGTCATGTCCTTCCACAGGACTGAAATTCTGGGCTGACCCTCTCTGGGGTGGGCCCTTTTGTTTTCAGAATGCAGCACTGTTTTGGTGGAATCTGCACAGGAGTGGTGAAGGGGATGGTGACACACTTCATGCGGGCTGTCCTGTCCTGGTGGGAGATAAGTGGGGTAAGGCCTGCCTTTCTGGGCATGAGAATGGGGTGAGGGGTTCAGAGTAAAGTCAAATAGGGGGTGGATGGAAAATAGCATAGCCCTGTCATTCCAAAAGCTTCATGAGAGTGCCACTTAATATTGAGATGATCAGATTGTGGGTTAGTTGCCCCCAAAGATTGGGAAGGCTTAAAGGGCAAAGATTCTCTCACAGAGCAGGTGTCAGTGAAAGTGTATTGACCTGACCAGATAGGCCTTGATTCCTGAGGATAGCTGAGGAGGAAAATGGTCCTAAGCTCCAGCCCTCTGACCCCAGGAGAGAACCATCAAGCCACTATGTGTCCCATTTAGTGCCTCCCCATGTGGAGATGGTCACACAAGGAAGAGCTAAATAGATAAATAAGCAGCATAGATGTATTTATGTCATATATGTGTCCAAAAGCACTTAGTTCTGAAGACAGAAAAAGTCGACAAGAGACTCTCATGCTGAGATGGACATTGCCAAGACAAGCCACCGCTTTTTTCTCATTGCACCGGGGGGGGGAGGGTGGACTTTTAGGTGCTACATCAATGAAGCGTGAGTGACCTTAGTACCCAAGGTTTGAAAATTAGTCTATAGTAGACAGGACCTGTCAGAGACTTTTTCTAGGGGACAGTGTCCTCTTTGCTCTTTATCTTTGCTAGAAGCAGTATCTTGTAGTCTGTTGCAGGGCTGGGACTAGGGTGAGGCAAGTGAGTTGCCCAGGGTGCAGAGTGTAAGTGGTCCTTGCGTGACCCTGTGAGTGAGCATTGCTGCTGTCTGATCTGTTGAGCCTGTTCTCTTCTTCTTCCCCATTCTCTCCCAGTGGCCAACAAGTGGATACATGAGTATGGACAGGAGTTCCGCAGACCCTGCAGCTCAAGCCCTAAAGACTAAAACGTTGGCAGAGAGAAGCTGGTCGAGTCCTGTGACTTTCCGGAGAAGCCAGAAGCCAAAGGCCAGGCTAGGAGAGGAGAAAGGAGAGCTACCTTCTGGAAGAGGGCCTTGTCAGCATTGCTTGTTCCTTGCAAAAGGAAGTGGTCTGTACTAGGGAACACCTGAGAATTCTTCTCAAACCATCAGAGTAGAATGGATGGGCAATACAAAGAAGGGGACCAGAGGGCCAGAGGGAGAAGTTTCTGGGGCTCACTCTATGATTTAAACAGGATATATCAGTAGTCCCTGGGGTTTGGTCAGTGGGGTTTTTGCCACTCTGAGCCTTGACCACAGGGGCCCAGAAGTGGCAATGAGGACACCTACAGGAGGGGGCTAGCCTAACTCCCGTGGCTTTTTGCCCTTCTCCCCACTGACTTCTGAAGACTGAGCAGGGACTGTCTCCTTAACAGGAGTGTACCTCATAGGATTGTTTTTTCAAGCAGAATGAAACTTTCTTCTTTTTTTAATATGATGATTTTTTAATACAGCCATTAAAAATGTTTACAAATCATTTTTCACAACCAAGAATATTCTTACATTATAACATTGAATAAAAAATATATATATAAATTGTATTTATGCTATAATCTCAACTTGGCTCACCTCCCACCAGTCCCCTCTCGTTATATTCCAGACACATGACATTCTTTTTGTTCCTAAAACCACTATGCTCATCGTCATCAGTATCGTTCCCACCTTTCAGGTCTTTGCATTTGCTGCTCCCTCAAATTGCCCCCATGGCCAAAGTGCTTCTCGTCATCCCACTCTGGGCTCAATGTCACTACAGACCTTTCTTCCCTGACCATGCGACCTGCCAGCCGTTTTCTTTCATGTTAACTGATTTTATTTTCTTCATAACACGTTTCTCAAATTGAAATTAGTCATTTGTGGTCAGTTGTCTTCCCTGCAGGGTGGGTGCTTTAAGGATCTCACTATACTTTGTCCATGCTTCTCTAATAGCCCCCATTGCACTGAATTTCAGTATTTGTTTATTTGCCTGGCTGCTTGCACTAAACTCTGCACTCCTTCCTCCTCTTGGTATCCCCAGAAGAAGGTCTGGTTCAAATAAGTAGGCATTTAGCAAATATTTTTGGATAAATGAATAAAAAGGCATCTTTTGAGCTGTGCTTTGGAAGACTGGTAGAATTTTTATAGGTAGAGTCTAATGAGGAGAAGCATTTCCCGGCAGAAGGCCTAGCATGAGCTAAGGCTGTATTGATAAGTGACTGCAATGTTTGAGCACTTATGCAGAGCACATTCCAGGCAACTTGGCTCAGGTTTCTCAACAAGGGTGGGAGTGTGTGTCTCGCACACAAAGAAGGCACACAGTTAAAGGACTGGGTGGTTGGATGCTGTGTTGTCTCTGCCCTGTCCCGGCACCATGCATTTCAGGATTTCTGCTTCCCAGGGCTTGTGGCCCCTAAGGAAAGGGTTCTGATGTGATATCCAGCTTCCTCCAGGGCCTCATTGAGCACCTGGTCACATCTTCAGTATTTCTGCTGAGTGTGCCAAGATTCTGGAAATCCTCTCACTAAATTACTAAATTTTGTCACGCAGGGAAGGGAATTTTACTTGCACCCTTCTGTATTTTTAGCTGAGGCCTCTGTAATAAAAGACAGATTAACAAGAGAAAAATAGAATTTTATGAACATGTATACCTCATGTATACATGGGAGACACTGGGGGAAAAATGACTAACTCCCCTAGGTGGCTTAGAATTCAGGATTAAACATCATCTTAATAGGGAAAGGGGAGGAGGAGATGTAGGACTCTTAGGGGAGATTTTTAGGAAAGATGAATGGGCCCTTAGAAGAACAGATGAGAGGTATGATAGTTTGTGACAAAGTCTGTCTGGGTGTGCTGTCTACTTCTAGTCTCTCCTGTGGTAAGAGTCAATCTTTCCCAGTTATGGAAACTTCCAGGGAGGAGATTTATGACAATTGACTTCCTTTGGAAGGATCTGTCTTTAGGCAGATAAGGGGAGTTCAGAGAAAGCCGCTCCCTGCATTTGCTGTTTTTCAAGTGCCTATGGCTCAAAATAATTAATGTGCCAGAGTGGCATATTTGGGAGTGGCATGGTCTGCTACTCTCAGTCACATACTGAGGCTCCAGAGGACTGGGCCTGAAACAGAAAGCTACTGTCTATGAGCAACACGGCTCCCCTTCTTTACTGCTGCAGGCATCAGAGCCGGGCCTTCTCAGAACTGCAGGGTCGGTCTCAGCTAATAACAGCAACGGTGAACTTGGTGAGTTTACTGTTCTAGGGGCACTGTTCTAAGGGCTTATATGTATCAATGACTTAATGTTCATCCCAACCCTATGAGGTCGGTACAGTATTATGCCTGTTTTACAGATATGGAGGCAGAGGTGCAGTTAAGTAACCTGCCCAAGTCCCAGTCTGGCTCCAGTCCTTGTGCTTTGAACCACTACTTTTGCAATGTCTGACATGTGGCAATTATCACACATCCTGATCAGGTGACTGAGGCTCAAGAACTGTCTGGCAATAAGTGCTTACTGAGCATTTCCCAGGGGCAGGCCTAGGTCCAGGCATGTTGTAGGGGTCCTGAGAGGTGCAGGATGCAGTCCCTGGGAGCTGATGGCCAGTAGGGAGATGAGACAAGTGCATCCAGTGTTACATGGAAATTAAGCACAATGTGAAAAGGTTGCATGTAGTAAGAGACGAATTAGTGAATGCTGCAGTCCAGAGCTGAAGGGATTGTTGTGGCCTGGAGCAGCCTCACTGTTTATCCAAATCACATAGCCAAGGTGCTGACTCAGTGCCAAGCCCTTGCAGGCACCAGGAATGGAGAGGAGAATTAAGATGCTGACCCTGCCCAGATCCTCAAATCATTATAAGACAGTGTAGCCACAGGTGGAAACAGGGACACAGCACTGAGAAGCTCCTCAGAGGCTTCATGGGAAGGAGAGACTGACCAAGTCTTGAAGATGCTGAGGGTGTGGAGAGGCTTGGAAGGAAGGGCAGGGCTGTGCAAACATAGGGTATGCCTGTCCCTAGAGCTATGAATAGTACCACCTCACTTCTGGTCAGTCAGTTTTCAAAAACACTTTTAGCACTCCTCTTGAAACCCACCTACCCAGGGAGGAAAGGAGAGCAGGCATTATGGAAAGCAAGGTCTGGAATGGTTAGTGGCTTGCCTGGGGTTACATAGTAGAGCTTGGCCTGAGGCCTGGTCTGTCTCTTTTACCAGTGCTCTTTCCATTCAGTGGTTATCAAAGATATGTCCCTCCATTGTGCCACAACTGGAGAGTGCAAAGGCCTTATTCTTTTATATTTGCACCAGTCTCCATGCCCTCAGAAACTCTGACTAGTCCTGCTAGGAAGTTGTAGGCTTTGGGGCCCCAACAGTGCTTAGTGGGTAGGTAGCTAATTCAGGATAGGACTGACTGTGGTTTGGGGCACTGCTTGTTTATAATTTTGTTTCTTTCTTTCTTGCACTGTTCTTCAGTCTTTTTTCTAACAGCCTTGTCCAAGTGAGCTGTTGTATCACTCCAACAAGCCTTACTCCAGAGAATATTCTTTTAAGTAAATGACTATTATCATTATCACCAGTGACCACGTTCTGGCCATACACTGTAGGCCAGGCACTGTGCTAAGAACTTGGGTATACTTGTCCCCTTCAATGCTTACAGTGAGATGGGTACTAGTATCTCCATTTTGCAGATGAGAGAAACCGAGGCAGAGAACATGTAACTTGCCTGAGGTTACACAGCTATAAAGTGGCAGAAGCAGGATTCAAATCTAGGTCTGTCTCCAAAGATCTTAACTAGCCATTTGTTGCCTGCACTACATGGTATTTCGCTCCCATTGGCAGTAGTATCTCTGAAGCCAGTGATTTTTGAGAGGAGTCTCCAACCCCTTCCCAGGTGTTGAGAGGTCGATCCCTCCTGCCCCAGTGCCTAATGGTTACGAATCCTATCAGATGTAGGTATTTGTTGACTACACAAATGAATCACCTCAATTCCGCAGAGCTACAGTGAACACCTATTGTGTGAACAGCTCCATGCTATGTGTTCCATGAAAATCCAAGAAAATGAGGCCTGCTCCCTGCCCTTGAAGCAAAATTAGCATACACCCAAATGTAAGAATAGCTAATTGGATATAATCAAGTGGAAAGCTGTGTGGTGTTACCCTAAGGATCATGGGAGCTGGGACAAAGGGCAGAACCCCACGGCTAAAGTGGGCGGAGAGGGCTTCCACACTGGGGCCCTGGGAACACAATGGAAAAAGAATGTGTGCTGATGGAGGGCAGGGAGCAACTACCACCTCACTTTTACACACAAGGGGGCAGGGAGAGCTGTCTGGGAGAAGGAAGTGAGAGGGTGTTAATCCTGGGGGGGGGTCCTTGTCCAGCAGTGCCAAGGGCAGCCAGCACAAACTGCCCTCTCACGGAACCATTCAAAGAGTCTCCTCTCTGGGGCACTCGGCTGCTCAAGCTGGTAGAAGGCAAGGGGGGGCGTGAAAAAGGCAGACTGCTGTACACTTAGCAAAACTATGAAATCAGTTCAAAACTAGGGGAAGAGACAAACATTTGTACCTACTCTGTGCTAGCTATTTGATCTCCCTTGTCTTACAACAATTATCCCTTTTGGCAAAGGAGGAAAAGGAGCCCCCCCCCCCCCGCCCCCAGACTTCCATAAATTCACACAGCTAGAAGAAGAAGAGCTGGGATCTGGAGCATGAAGTTTCTCCCCACCAGCTGCTTCTAACCAACCTCTTTCTCTCTGGACTTTTCTTTCTTCCTCACCTTGGGATCCCCCTTTGGAAGGAGAGCCTGCCCCACCCCCCTCTTTTCTTTCTTCCCTTGCTCACTTGACCCTTCCCAGGAGGTGCCTGATTGGCCTGTTCTCCCTGTGGTCTGAATGGCAGAGGGTCCCACAGCCAGGAGCATACTTGCATATGAAGTGGGTTGCCCCTGGTGAAATCAAAGAGGATTTTAAAGGAATGAAGTGCTAAGGGGACAGTCTTTTTGGCTAAGGGTTTGGGGGCATGGCTCAGATGGATCCCCAGAGAGAACTACTGTCTCCATGTTCCTTATGGAGCATGAACTTTCAGATGGAGCATAAAGTAACGATGATTATACCTCTTGCTCATCTGCTTGTCACCTTATAGAGCAGGAGGGCAGCAGTTACTTCCCCCACGTGTAAGAGGCCAGCCACTTGGCTAGTCTTTGTTTCCAAGGTTTCGCCTGGCTACAGGCTGGGGTTTTCTAGCAAACTGCTGGGAGAGGAAACCAGCTCTAGGAATAAGGGAGGCTCTTGAGTTTACATAACTTTCTGAGCCCTGGACCCAGGCTGAGAATGTGTTGATTCTGGCCACTAGTGGGGCAGCCAGCTGGGGCAGAAGAGTTGGCTCAAAAACTCCCGTTCCTGCAGGGGAGAGTGCGACTGTCTTTTGTTTTCTCTACTTCTGTTGTAGGCTCTCTTCCTGCTCTTCCCTTGATAAAGTCCTGACCTTTTAACTCCCTACCCCGAGTTCTGATGACAGACCCCT